CCTAATATTCTGTGATTCTGTGATTTACTAATGGGACAAGACAACTTTTTACACAGCAAGGCAGTTTATTTTCATTAAGTCTATTAGTCATGAATCCATAACCCAGTAAGAAACAAGTTTAAGCTATTTGAACAGAAGTTTCAAGGAAATCAAAAAATAAGATGCTCAGAATGTCGCTGCCACACCTTTTTGAAAAGGTTTTACTCATTTTTAAAACTTCTTCATGATTGCTGCTCCCTGAGCTGTAACTTTCAACACAATAATCTCTAATGCATTTTCTAGGCTGCATTTAATCCACACTTACTGACTTTATATAGGCTTGAATTTAACAAGTTGCCTTCTTTTTTTATACTCCCTATCAGCTACTTCTAAAATAACCTTATTTATTATTGAGTTCTGTTTAATTTTTGCTGTTAAATTCTAGGAGGTTTGGGTTGTTTGGTGTTTTTTTTAAGTGATTTAAGCTACCAGTTAAGTTTTAATCTTTGAGAGGACAGGGTACCACCTTAATACTTCTCTTCCACTGGAAGAGGATATTCAAATCTGCTCTTGACTGTTTTGGGTAGACACAAGCCATTTACTCGTAATCTCATCCTCTGAAAGTCTTCATTCCACTTTTGTTTTAAAAAGCTGTTAGCACTTCCCCTCTGCTACAACACAAACCACTCAGAGTCACAGTCTTTACTTTCAACATTTTTCTTCCGGAGTTACAAATTGTTGCTGCAATTCATCTTTATGATAACAAAATGTTACTTTGTTTTCTAAATCCAGTACATTTCACCACTTTTGACTTGAATTTCGGAAAAGTTAATAGCTGCAACTTTCCTGTTCATCTTTAAGTCTGGGATTTATGGTACAGCTTGATGTAGCTGGGGCAGAATTTTCATTCATTTTAGTTTTGTTTTTATTTTGTTGAGCAATTTATACCAAACTGGCACTCACATAATTTCCAATCCTTGTTTTTTAAGCCTGACAAGCACTTGCCCAACACATTCTTGGCAGTCAAATACCACTTTAAGAGACCTCAAAATACTTTTTCCACTTCATGTTTAAATTTATGTTCTATTAGACAAGTCTCCTCTTCATCACTTCTTGCTGTATCTCACTCACATCTCGCTGAGGTATACTGACCTGCCTTTATGATCCTAAGATCAAATAGTGCTTGTACATATTTTATTGGATAGAAAAGTCTGTATTCAAGATTTTTTCCTACATCATTTTATGTTTTCCTACACTTAAATACAGAAATGCCTCCTGCAGCATTTCAACTAAGCCACAACCCTTCTCCTTTCTTTATGAACTTCTGAAGCTTACCAAAAAGACTCCACCAGTTGAACCAGAAGGATAAGTATCCCTCTTGAGTGTGTGTGTGGGAAATCTAAGCTAAATACACTTAAAAGAAAATTAGTGTCTCTAGAAAGGCCATGCCAGTGGGATGAGTGGAAGGCTACAGAAAGGCACACATTCTTTTAATGGTCTGTTTTTAACTCTGGCTGCAGTAAAGCATCATCCAATCTGCTGCTTTTTTCCTGTCCATCCACCTCTCCACAACATCACCAGAAAGCCTCAAGACTTGGACATCTTCAAGCAATCTTATTAGATTTGGCCATTAACAAGCAGATACCAACTGAGTAGCAGTTACTGAGCTTTTCCCTGATGGAGCTTTTCCCTGCATAGTTTTAAAAAATTTTAAAAAACCCCACAAACCAAAACAATAAAAATGCTCAAAAAACACCCCTATCTTCTTCATAAGTTATTACAGCGGTGCTCATTGGGCCCTACTTATTTCTCCAGAAACGGTAACAAGTCAAAAAACCCCACCTTAGTAGTGCACATGCAAAAATGCCCAAAGATGACAACTTCTGATGTGCACCTCCCACAGTTACACATCAACAGTTAAAAGAATTCAGAGGGAACAGGACTTGTTCTTTACATGTGAGTAACTCTGAATTTCAGACAGATCTAGAGAGGTGCCATCTAGTTTTTAGTTTTTAAAATTAAATTTTGAACTGAAATACAGCAAAAAAAGTTCACTCATCCAACTCACGTCTTCGCTTTTAATGCCTGTGGTGAGTGAAGAATCACTAAGTATTTTTATATACAGTTTTCACACTTCTATTCACGATTGTTTTCCATCTTAGAAGCTAAACTAATTACAGCTCTGAAATAATATGCACTAGCAAAGCAAGTACCACAAATATGATAGGAATACAGAAAAGATAAGGCAAGAGACAACTTATGAGCATACCTTGTTACATATTTACCATACCTACCATATCTGGTGTGTAAGAGAAGCATTTGAGAATCCTCAAAAGCTTTTTGTTCACAAAAAGCCACAAAGTAAACACATGGAAAAAAATCACAATAAGATGCAAAAGAATTTACAGACAGAAAAGAACAGACTCAATTCCATACACTGCACAAAAATTAGTTGGAACAATTCTGATAAGCACCTACTTGCACAAAAGTGATTGATTGTGCAGACACAGCAACACGTTTGTCTGCTGTCTGCAAATGCATGTTACTGCTCACCCATCAGCAGTAAGGTCTAGGGTTTGTGGGGGGGTTGCTTGCTGGAGCGGTTGGTTGTTTATAAAGAGTTTTGGTTTTTTTAAACCTTTAACCAATTTCCAAGTGCTTACAAGTCTGTTCTGGCCTCAGAATGGAATGCAACACTTAGCCTGTTTCAGACTAGGATGTTAATTCAAAATATGAATACTGATACATAAACAGAGCTTTATATTTTAATGCTTAACTAGAAATGAAAGCTGTACTCATGTGAATGCTTAGAGAAGGCATTTAGTGTGTAAAAAAAAAAAAAGTCGTAAGACAGAGCTGTACTGGACACTACATATCCCAGAATCTGCAATCCCACAGAATTCCCTCTCCCAAGTGGCTAGTTACATCCCAAAGGCAGCCTTCCTGTTGTGGTGCCTTATGTACTTTATTCTGTTGTGAGATGCTCCGTAACAATTAGATGTTACACTTAAGCAGCTGCTGCCACAGACTTCTTGACAGAAGAAAAAATTTTAAAAATTATACAATATGCATTGAGTTCTACCCACCACCAGAAAGTCAGACTCTGGAAAAAAGAAACCAGGGAGCTGGCAGCTTTCTCTGCCCATGTGAAACTGGATTTAAGGGAACAAGCACTTTTGCAAGACGGAAAGGATGTGCAGTTGTTGGAGAGTTCTGCTCTTTGTGCGCGTCTATACCCACCTGCTGGTAAGGATCCCTTTTGTTGAGAAGCATGTTGTAACTGGAGAATATGGAAACAGTCATTTAAGCAGTTCATGGTTGCCATGGAAGTTGCTTTGAGCATTAACAGGTCTTGATCCAAGGACGTAAGGTGACCGGAGACAGGGAGGCATTCTATGCTCCTGATCAGGTCTCTCTGCTGGCCCTCAGCCTGAGACATCATCTGTCAAACAAAGCAGTCATTTATCAGGTGATGGAAGCGCGTTGTGCGATACGTGTTCAGCTGTGCACACAGAGGATCCCGTATGATTTTATGACGATAATAAAACTACAAGGTCGTAGATGTATATAAAGATAACTGCACTTTTTTTCTTCTTGATGCAGGTACTAAAGAGTCATTAAATGCAAGATGAAACTCCCACTGCAATACATGGCACCTTATTAAGAAACAAAAGAATATCAAAGTGACTCTAAAAAAACCCGAAGGGGAATTGGAACATGATATTTGCTGCAGTAAATATCAAACACTTTCATGCTTGGTTGATAGAGACAGTGGGGAAAAATCCCAACACACTCTGTGCGAGGAGTGATTAATCTCTGTGCTGTGCACAGCCTGGAAGAGGATGTATGAGGTGCTCTCTGTGGGTATCAAGATCTCTTCACTCCCTACAAGAAGGGATCCAGCACTTTAAAGGAAAAGACCTGTGTCACTGAGTCTGGCTCAGACCATACAGGACTCTCATTTACTGTCAGAACTTGCACTATGCTTAAGATCACCATCTCACTGTTTACTTTGTGGAGAGGGGATGAAAAAAATGCAGTATTTTCTCCTTCTTGATGGGTTCAAATTACAGCTTTCCCATTGTCACTGTCCCCCGTGTCCCCTAAGCTCCGTTCCTCCTTCCTCCTGACGTGGAAGACCCCTACATCGCAGGGTAAAGGCAAACTTCTACACATGCTAGTCCCTTTTCTGGGGAGGTACCACAAAGAGCATTAACATAACTGGACAGCGCTACTCTGCAATCATTACGTGTTCTGGCAGTTAAGTTAAACGTAAAGACAGATTGATTTACCAGAGCAGAAGAATAATTTCTTTAAAAATGCATGAAAAGCATTCATGCATTTAACTGTTATGGCACCATTAAGTTTTTGAATTCACCAATCTGGGCAGCATCTTACTGATTTATTTTTTTTTTACATTTTTCATTATTATGACTTTTTAAGTACCATTGCCCGCAATCTCTTCCAGGAACTGTTTTCAAGGTTGTACACAATAAATACTTAAGCAATACATATTCATCCAAGCTCATGGTATGCTGTATTTGGAGCATTTTAGGGCTTGGCTACGTAGCACTCTATGGTGTGAAATTACAGAGCATTGGCTCTTTGGAAGCGGAGTTAACTGTGCAGAGTCAGCCTCAGCATATCCCAGGAGTGACAGGGCAGAAAGCTGATAAAACACTTTGTAATGCAGCCTTGCCTGCATAAACATGCCAGATGCTCTCACAACATGTCTTCTTTTCTTCCAGTAGTGAAGATGATATAAGTCTTTGAGTGCAAGATTTTTTTCCAAAACTTTGCAAAACTCTGCTTGATAGAAAACAAAACAAAACAAACCCCACAAAAACCCAAACAAAAAGACACAACTAATTACTTGACAAATCATCACGATCCTTCTGGTGATCTTCACTCTTAGTAATTTACGATGTGGCAGCACCCAAGCACCTCCCTCCAGGATCAGTCCTGACAATAGGACAAGCCATGCTGTACTCAGCACTGAAGTTCAAAATAGGCACAACTTCCCTTTCAGAGAACACACTTTGAACATTCCTAAGTCCTTCCTGCTTGTATACTCACATTTGTAAAAAAAATAATATGTATTTGTATATTTAGTGCTGGGGGGAGGAAAAAGCACTATGATTACAAACTCAAAACCTGTCAGAAGTACACAGGGTATAGTTCTCAGTTTGCAAACGTGCACACACCTGTATTTATTGCAGGTCAGTGCAGAGATCCCTTCAGATGTCCTGTTTTGCAAGGTACCCAAGTCAGCAGCATGATGTGTATTCAGCCAAGGACAAGGGGCAGTAGAAGGGAAAGGGACTGACAGAAAAACCAGCTACAGTGCAATTAAGGGGAAAGTTACAAAAGATCACCATGCAGCAGGTCCTTTGAAAGAGAAGCTGTTCTTCCCACAGCTTCTCAAACTGAATTCAAGTTTTATTATGCTCCAGTGTAACAGGCATCATCTGCCCTTTGTTATTTTAAGTATTTTAACTATGTCTAAAAATAATTGTAGGTATTGTATCCAACAAGAATTTTAGCTTCAAAAAGGTAAGTAAACTAACTTCAAAACAGTTACCATTACTAAGGATTCTTCGTCTGTACAGCTCAAAAAAAAAGTTATAGAATCATAGAATCAATTTAAGCTGACAAATAATCATGCTGTGACACCAAACTCAGTAACAATCAAAAGAGAACACGAATGGTTTTCTGTGCTCTTTGCAATGCTAACAAAAGTCATTCCTCTTCACTTCCTGCCCAGTAAGAATCCCAATTAGAGGATGCAAACCACTGCTTCAGTGCTCCCGTTCACCCACTCTCCTCCTCTCTCCCTCAAATTCTGAATGCCATATTGCCATCTAAAAAGTCAAAAAGTGAAAGAAATCATTTCTGAAGCATTACCTCGCTTAAACAGGATAGCTTCTCAAACACTAAATTATAACAACTGATAAATATGAAAGCCAAACTGCTAAGAGAGCTAGAGGCATGAATCTTGTAATTATTAATGTCACTTTGAATTGTTGCTGAGGTTCTTTTCAGACAATAGGTTGGAAATGGGAATACTATTTAAGTTCACTGCATGTTGTAGTTGCTGCACCACACTAAGAAGTTCATCACAAGTAAGAGGTAACTTGATGAACCTAACTTTATAGCTTGTTTTAAAGTTAATTTGGAAGAAAACCTTCTCTTTCGGAGAATAAAGCCGATGAACCAGCTTGTAAAAAGCAGAAGGCACAGGATGCCAGCTGAAGTTTTCCTGGGTACCTGACAGGACTCCATTAGCACCGTATTACAGCTGTCAGGGGATATAAACAGGGTGGCAGCTGTTACCCTTTTACAACACATCTGCAAGAACAGTCCGATGTGGACAGAGACTCACGGGTTGAGGTGACTGCCTCATTGGACGCTATCTAGCTTACTAAATAATTATGCCACAGGACTGGATTTAATTCAAGGAACAACGACAATGGCAGCATTACCACACCAGGGAACGTATGTTTAATACCAATTTACAGCTTCCCACTGACGAACTTATGCTCAGCCACATGCTTCAAAGTTAATGATGCTCACAATACAGACCACTCTTCTGTCCCTGTTTGGCTAAGTTCAATTTGTAACTACTCACACCTCCTAGATCCTTGTTTGCTAAATTAAAAAGCCCTCAATTAAGAAACTTATTTTCGCCAAGAAATTTATCACGCTACACTAATCACACTAACATCAAAATACTCATTAATATCAATACTACACCTAAGTAAGACAGGTTTGTAATTCAGCAAGAAATTTTGATTTAGTATTAACTTTGGATTTGCATTATTTACCCTTTAAATACTCACAAGTTAAATCAACCAGCTGTCAGTCCATTCTGTCAATCAAGATGGCAAGGTAATTATTTTTTCACAAAATACGCTACACTGAACGCGTAATGAAAAAAGCATACTTCTGAATTGCTCATTTTGTTTTGCTCTCCTTTCAATTACATCCATCCCTACACAATTTGTCCACATGAATTAGCACACCAGAAAGTGGTATTAGCATTCTTAAGGATCAGTCATGACCACTTCCTTAGTCATAAGAGATACAAATACAGTGTAATCAGCTCTTCTATAGCTTGACATGGGAATAAATCAGCGTGTGATACAACAGTACCACAGTATGGGGTGGTATACTCCCCTAAGGATAGATAGTCCTTTGTCACCTGTAGCGCCAGGAATTGAGAGGATGGGAACATGCAAAAGAGATACACATACAGTGTAATCAGCTCTTGATATAGCTTGACATGGGAATAAATCAGCGTGTGATACAACAGTACCACAGTATGGGGTGGTATACTCCCCTAAGGATAGATAGTCCTTTGTCACCTGTAGCGCCAGGAATTGAGAGGATGGGAACATGCAAAATTCTACCTTGAGCATCAGGATATTATCGCAGAGTACAAAACTCACAAAACATACACCACATATGTCTACGATTAGCCAAGGCAGTTGCTTATCCTCAAACAGCTACACAATAACAACTTAGCACATGGTATTGGCAATATATCCAGCTAAGAACAGCAGGTTTCTCCACAACCCTACAAATAATAGGACAGCTCTTCCAAAAGATTATAAAAGAATTTAAGGCATACAAACCTCTCTAACATCTACAAGGTGATCTGGCTGCATAATGGGAACTCTTTTTCCAGTTGGCAATCTGTGATGTCCAACATTGAAAAATGAAACTGCATTTTGACTGGGTCTTCTTTGCACACCAGGAGAGTTGGCACTTCCTTGGGATGCAAGGGAGAAGCTGCGAGATTTCAGAGGAGGGTTGTTCTAATGAATAAATAAGCATATAAAGAAACATGTACAATTAATTCCTAATAACCAGCCAATATTCTAATTTGAAAGATACAGCAAAACATTTTAATCTTGGATTTTTTTATAGAGAAGGACAGATGACAAAGCCCTAACAATGTATTAGTAGCAACCGCTAAATAAATATTTTGCACTGGTTGCCCTGTTTTATAGTCTAATTAGGAACAAATCTGAGAAATGAGCTTGATCAATACCTATCATCTCTCTGACTTGAAAATTAGTCCTTGATCTGCAACAGTACTAGAAACCGACTTCTAACAGATACTGCAAGGATACAGCTCATATTTAAGAGAATGGGACTTCATGGAGAACTATTCATTGAACTTCTCCTACCACAAAGACAGTCACAAGATGATGATCGTATCTTAAAAGCAAGGTTTTACTCAGGTGTAAGAATAGGAGTTATGGCAGTCAGGAGCATCTATAAAATACTCTATATTCACAGCCACCACGTGGTTAGCAAACAGAAACAACAACCCCCAGATACAGTGTGGAGGACTTGCTTCTCAAACATGGTATTAATCCTAAACTTATTTGTGGACTGCTGAGTGGCTTGGTTTTTTTAAAAAAGTTAAAATAAAAGGAAAGCTCCCAAAATGAAAAGGCTTCGGTAACACTGAAGACCTGCTCCTTTATCTATTAAAAAAAAAAAAAGCAAAATCACTAGAAAATACTGGGCTAATACTGTAATCTTTCAGCTCTGCCTCCTGTTCAAACACCAGCTCATCAGTACCTGCTCAGGGAGGACTGTTCAGCTCTTCAGAGGCAAAGTGACTTCATTTTGTGCCATTCCTAAAGTGTATTTTTATTGCAAGTCAGCCATTCCTCAGGAAAACATTTCTTGATGTGTCAAGCCCAACATGCCCTTTTGTAGCATTTGTCTCAGGTAACAAGACAGGAGTATTTGGAACTGCTTCTACCACCACCCTAAATTATTTTTGTCCATGAAAATATCATCCATACATTACCTTTCCGATAGCTTCCGTGTGATGCTGCGTACATATCTGTAGCCTGCTAACCCAGTGCTGCCGTTCCTTAGCATCAGTGGCTACCAAAAGCAAACCAAAGTTACTATGTATATGAGAGCATTTTGAAATATCGGCAAATGGCTGTTTAATTAAACTTAATTAAACTTGAACTTAAATAAAGTTCAACATAAATGGCATATACTTAAAAAAAAATTGTAACACAGAAGTAACTTCCACAATCTTCTCACACGTATTTTAATCTATCATAACAGATTTTCCTGGAATTAGAGTAAGGTTCCCTGAATTAGATTATGACAGCAAGTCTTCACAGGAAGAAATACTGTAGGATATCAGCCCAGATTTCCATAGCCTGCAAAAACAGAGAATGGGAGAATAACCCTCACAGGAAGGCTAACAGATTGAACATTAGGAATAATGTAGTTCTGTGCAAGCATTAACACAGTACTGCCACCTTCAATGATTTAGAAAACTGAATCAGTATAGTTTAAGGACACTATAAATGAAGGTTAAATCCACCTCTACATATCTTAAGTTCCTGGTCCTCTGAAAGTCAAACGACCCAAAGAGTATGGGACCAACCATAAAAAAGGACAGTTTCCAGCTGAGGAGAGGGACCAAAGTTTCATACAACTCCCATTGCAGCAGTCTGCCAAACAAGTCCTCTTGCTTTGGCCACACAGCCAAACTCAGCAGAGCAGCCACAGGTAAGAGCCAGGAGTGTCCTCTAGTGGAAGAATCCCCTGTCCAAGAACCAAAGTCCTACCTCTTAGTTTATACTGCTCCCCGCTGGCAGCGTTGACTGTAAAGGTGTGAGAGTCTTCATCACTGGGTGAAATGACAGCTCCAGCTAGCTGCAGCGTACCCCTGGGCTTTAGGTGTCTCGACTGCTCATTCACAAAGTATTCCAGCAGGCCAGCATCATTGTTTAAAACAAAAAATCTGCAATGACAAAATACATCCAGTAAATAAAACCAACCCATTCTTTCCCTTTTTACTTTTTTGAGGAGGTGCTTGGGAGCGTGGTGCTGGGAGAAGTCAAGACTTTCATTACAAGTTGGCACAAATGGGGTTAGGACTTAAGGACCTGAGTCAGTACAACCCCAAACATATGAATTATGTTGTCAAACAGACTGCATAAAAATTAAGCTCTTAACAATTTCTTCTCAGAGACCAGAGATTGCACAACAGAAGAGCAGGCCCACAGAAGAGGCTATTGCAAGATCTGGAGAATCGAAAGACTATCCTGAATCTCCTGAGACTTAATACATCCTTAAACTACATCTATTAAGGGTAAAACAGCCCCAGATACAAAACAGCTGAGATACAGAACTGTGAAACTGAAGCACTTCCAGATTAAAAAGAATTAAAATAAAATTAAGTGGACATTATGCTTCAACTATTCAATTGAGTGCAGTAAGTGTATTGACACAAGTCACTGCATGTCAGTGGTAGCACACGAATTTGGCCAGTGTGGTTCGGTAATGACTTGTTTCTCTGACAGTAATTTGGTTGCACTGTACAGCTCTAAGAACAGCACCAAGAAGGAATCCCAACAAGAGTTTCAATTGTCAAGGAAAGGCAAGTCATTCCAGGGGAGACAGACATCCTGGGGAACTAAAGGGAAAAGGTTGCTTGAGTTTGAATTTTCAGTAAAGAAGTCTTAATTATTTTTTTTAAATTATGATATGATTTGGCATAAAGCTGAAGACTCAGCAGAAAAAACCAAAGACAATATTTTTAATGCAAAAGGAGAACAAACTTAATGCTGTACATGATTTTACACATACAAGCAGAGTTATAAGCCACCAAATTAGTTGACTACTTCATAATTCCTATGCATTTTTCTCTTATTCATGCCTTAATACAAATATTACTCATCTACATGTTTGCTTAACCTATACTGAGAAAGCATTAGACTCTTCCATAGTTTGCTTAATAGGAAAAGAGAAATTCCAGTAGTATTAAAAAAATCTGAAACATGTTCACTTAAGTGCTGCAAAGACCAGTATTATTAAAAGACTTACCGATATTGCCAACCAGTGACGAGATTGGTGTATTTCATTAAGTAGCCATAAATATTTTCCATGTGATCACTATTTAAAAAAAGATAAAAGCAATTAGACAATATCAAACAAATTTTAGATCTTCCCAGCTTTTGATCACTATCTATTCTCAGAAAAATTAATTTCCATCTTCATTTTTAGAATGGCATTGCCATTCAAATAAAACTACCAACACTTCACAGATTTTCCAGCCTCCTTTCTAAAATAATTTCGTAAGACAGTTTAACCAGACTTACTCAACTCCAAATAATTTCAAGGCATAATTAGCTTCACCAATACTTGAGTTTTATTCAGCAGGCACTTCTGGGCACATTTGTACTCGTTTCAGGTAATTAAAGACTTAGTATCCAAGCTGCTTCTGTTTCCTGCTCCCTCTTCCAAGCAAGCTTTCTATTTTTGGGCTTCTGAGCAAAATTACCTTTCACTAGCTTATTAACAGCATCTTTACCATAGTCACCAACCAAAACCAGTCCCTAGGTACTCCTACACCAATATGGTTTGATTTAGCCTCAATGCCCAGAACTGCTTTGCTTCCCGACTACACGAACAGTCACGCTCTTTAACACATGTTCAGAGCACAACGTGTGGGTGCAGGTCACATCAAGATACCCAGAAATGTAAAACAGGAGCCGAAACACCTCCTCCTCTGCCTGGCAGGAAAATCAGGTACTTTCTCTTTCATAATCTCAACTTACAACATCCACCAAAACCAAAAACCCATCGAGGGCATTCGGCACCAAGGCTTAGTATCACAACAGGCAAATACAGTGCCACTTCTGAAAATCAGTTGCCCTAAATAAGGCTTACAAGCTATGAACTAATAATTTTAAAACCACAGTTTTAAGACTTATTTATACTGTATGGTCCCATAATTCTAGAAATGCCACCTCAATGCCCTTGCCTCTTACAGTAGGACACAATCTTAGACTGAAGAACACGCTCTTGACAATTCAGGTCCAGCACGAGGAAATAAGTCCCAATTATTCCAACGAAGAACTGAAACAAAGACCCAAATATCAGACACTATTTGCTTTCTAAAATAAACTCGTATTTAAGCCATCTTATTAGATGTTAAATTAAAATTTCTGTATCTCATAGTATGTGAAAGATTAAATGAAAATTATTAATGAGTCCATTGGAGCAGCAGCCTGTTCTGGTCGTTAAGAGGTCAAAGTACCTCTGTATCAGCAAGAGTGGAAAGGTTGGATAAAACAGAACTATCAGAGACAGGGGATCACCTTCCTCAGTGGATTTTGGTTGCAAACATTGTCAGACCAAGTACTGGGGTAAATTCCAAAGAGCGGCTGAAGCTGCTGTCTACGCCTCCCTTATAAACAGTGTCGGTACCACCAGATTCATCAGATACCTGGTAATTCAAGAAACAATGACGATAACCTCAGACTAAACCACTGCCATACGAATCAGTGCCACAGCACTGCCGTTCAGTAACACTATTCAAGGAAGAGATGCAAGAACGTACACTTCTGAAGGAAAAACAAGTTGCTGATTTTTAATGTTACATTTAAAAACCAAAATATGTGTTCCAGCAATTGCTGCAGCAATCGCTATTACAGTAATATCCTGCAATGGAAAGCAGCCAGAACTATCTAGGAATTTAATCTCTAACAGTTCATTAAGTGGTACTACAGATAAAAATAAAACCAAGGAGAGCAGAGGGTACCCAGGCTATCATATTTTAAGTGTACAAAAAAAGCTAAAGGAGACACAACCAAATACATCCTCTGCAGACGCCTCTCATTTGTTATTATTGGCATACAAGGGAAGTACAGTTTAGACTTGCTTGCTGTCTTAATTTAGCTGACAATTATGAGATTGCATAGTCATAAAAATGTATGAGCTTGGTTTTCAATCATCTGAAAATTGTCCCTAGACACAGCTAATTGTTTTTCAGATTTAATGAATGCAAGCCTCATTCTTGCTTTTCCTTTCTAAATCGTACAGAGCCCTGCACGCTCAGGCTAGAGCTGCCGTACTCTCCCATTATCTCCCTGCCTAAATCACAAGTGTGTTTGACAGAACCCAAGAAAAATCAGGAAAGTAACTTCAGACTGCAACGAACACAGCAGGACTATGCATATGGCCTTGGAAATCCATTCATCTGACCAGGGTAAATGAAAGTGTCTTTCATTAAAGTTATTCAACAACTTCATTTGAGTGTGACTGATGAGAACTCATCTTGACACTTTAGGAAAGAAAATTTTAAAGAAGTCAGCAGCAGAAGGGAACGCAGTCCTCTCTGATGGACTTCCACATCCAGTGAGCAACCGAGTATATTTCTCCGTCTACATGTTCCTCACCACTCAGACGTTCACTTTGACTAAACCCAAACTTTTCCAAACACCTCCTCTGCAATAAATCCTCTCTCTAGCCTTGGCAGTCCCAAAAGTTGATGGTTTAACCAAAAAAACTTTGAAACAGTCTGAGAAAGGACCAAGTACAAGCAAGCCAGTTCCCTCCAGCACTGTGGACACCAAATCTGGCAGGAGGGTGCTGCAGCAAATGAAGATGAGTGCAAGTGCATGATGCTATGCACACCAGCCAGCTGTGTTCCAGAATCCCTACATTTGCATGCATGCATGGGGTCCCCAAACCCTCCATGTCCCACAAAAGAGCTATCCCTTGGTGTACAAGGTAAAGCTCAGGAGTGCCTTTAGGAGGTACCTCCCATTGACAAGCCAGAAGCCCTTATGCACCTGTACAGGATCAGAGAGATGTTGCAAGCACCCGCGGCCAAACCTCGGCACAGAAGAGCCCAAAAAGCAGCAGCAGCAGTTGGTGCCCGTGCCAAGGTTCACAGCAGCAGCTACGGGGGGATTCCTTATAGACCAACCTCTGCAGCAGGGCAGGAGTATAAATAACACATGGACTGCCGGGGTGAGACCCCAAGCTCTGCCTTGCTTTTTGGGAGACCACAGAATGTTAGAGGAGCCCAAGTCCAAAGAGATGGAGCATGAACAGAGGTCCCTGCTAAATGAGCAGCCTCTTGCCTTTTGATTGTCCCCCAGGCTGGACAATATTGACTAAATTACTTTCCTTAATTGTGTTCACGCATCTGCGCCAGAAGTGCACAAGCCCAAAAGACTGTATTTAGGTTTCAAGGTCAGCTAAACTTTTAGCACCCATGCCAGTAACAGATCAGCCCGCCTGAAGGGTTGGAAAGACTTGGCTGATATTTAAAACATTTCCCTTGACAGTGCAAGAGCCTAGAAGCACGCAAATAAACAAGTAAAAGCACAGACCTTACTAATCACACTCTTCCCACACAAATTTCCACACCATGTAGGACAGAGAATTTTCAGCATTTGAACTAAGACTTATTTTTAAATAATTTACAATTTTATACACTAAAAAAAAAATAAATATTTAAACCCAGTCTGGAAATCACAGCTCACAAAAGGCAGATCCTGTAACTGTAGAAACCCGTTACAGAACTACAGTTAACCTCCTGGTCTTCTTCTGGGGATGCACGAGTGCTTTCCTATGAATGCAGAAAAACATTCTCAGTATTATTTGTGAACAAGGTGGTCATGGAGTTAGAACCAGAGCATTTCTTCAATGTTCTTAAGATTAGTTCCTCCACAGCAAGAGTTAAACTAAAATAGTTGCTGTGGGTAAAGCAGTGTTGTAAGGCAACTAACACTATAAGAAAACCCACAAAGCTCCAGCAATATTTCACTAGGATGGAATTAACAGCAAAGCGCCACAGAAAACTTAAGACTTTGAGAACAAGAGGCTGAGGTTCAGCCACTGGCTCTGCTCACAGACAACCACAGTTCATAAAATACAAGCAAGATCTTCCTTAAAGCCCTTACCAGCATTGTTTCTAATGAAACAACAGTAAAATCTGTTTCAAAGTCACCTGTGCACCACAGAAACCTCCACAATTCCTCACAATGGAGGTTTTGACTTCTAGAAAACAGATTTCAGAAGTGAATTTGACACAGACACTGAGCACTTTATCTCAACACTGACAGAGAGGCCTGGCTGCACCAGGATCCCTCGCACCTTTCCGAATGCCTCTTCGTTCACGCTGCTGCTTACGTGCACAGACACGTACCTCTGGGTATGTGCGTCTTCTCACAGCCAAGATGCTGCTGTTGCTGTTCAAAATGCTCCCCACAGCCTCAGATTGTCAAAGGCACAACAACAGCTCAGCAACCATGAGTCAACAGCCCCTAAAGTCTGTATTTCTGGAGAAACTCATGTCAAAGAATGAGTGTGTCCAAGTGTTGCAACAGACCTGTCACAGCCTTAAAAATGTAAAGAAAAAGAATTTTAACTTTTGCTGGACTATTTGAAGTGAGGTTACTGTGCAGATCATGATCCAGGAAAAAATTATGCAGGAACTCATGGTACAATTTGAACTTCAGCCCAGCACATTTACTACTCCCCCCCCAAAACAACCGTTTTTTTTTCCCCAGAGGCAGAACATCACTGAATTTGGCTGCCCATTTATCACACTTTTTTAGTTTATAAGTATTGTGAGATGGATTGAAAGTGTCCCTGTAAGCAAATGACTGAAGTCTATGGAAAATTACAAATCAGTTCCTACTATTTTCAGAAATTATCCCTCCCCAACTTCAGAGACATTCACCACAAACCAGATTTCTACACATCTAAGTGCTACTAAAACACAAATAAGAATAAAACATTCACAAAGCATTACTGTTAATTTATTTATCCTCTTCTAGTTTTATTTGTCCTGTTCTACTATGCCTCTTAAGCTGCAGCAGCTGTCAGCCCTGTGCTGGGGGAGGAGTAAGACAGAGGTAGTCGGGCCAAATTCCCCCCGTATCCTGTTTATGTGCTGCACCCAAGTCTTGAACGCAGATGCCGAGGAGCAGCAGTCCCAGAATGACGTCTTCCAGGAGCTTCAGCCAAAACGCCCAGGCTCACACCTGACAAGCGCTGGGCCAACATTTCCTCCAAAAAGAAACACCGATGCAGAGGCCTTCCCACCCTTTTTTTGTACCCTTCACAGTGCAGCACTCCGCAAAAGCCCCACACAAACTAATCACCACCTGCAGTGGCACAAAACTACAGCCATCTGGAAAGCGAGTACAGAAAACTTTGAAGACTGCCCTTCTGATGGGTTTAATTTTTCTGAGGTGCAGACAGCTCTGTGTGGAATCACGGGGGATGCAGATACACAGCCTGGTCTCTGAGGACCCAACAGCTGCTTGAAGGGCAAATGCAGTGGCCAAAGGCTTCCCCACAGACTTGTGTAAGGCCTAGCTTCAAGTGGTCGCAATGCACACGTGGATTTGATTCCAGCAGGAAGGACAAGGAGCCTGGAGCCCATGCAGATGTCGGGGATGGCTCCTGAAGGGGGATCCAGCCTCTGTCGCTGCCATCACCGCAGTTAACAGTGCCTTCAGGCTCTAGCCCAGGGAAGAGGCTCCTTTCTACTGAGCTCACAGCAAGATGCAAAAACCTGGTGCATGAGGCTGCCTTCAGATTAAAAGTTAGCAAAGCATAAAGAAAAGGCAAGAAAGAAATCAGGATCATAACAGTGCAAACCAATGAGTGGTTTTGACTCTGTAGTTTGAAAAAAGCAGTCACCATTTTCACTGAACTCATTCCTCTCTACCTGCCCACAGGCCTGCCATTTGTAATAGCTCACTTTCTCCTCCCTGACCACTGTTTATCTACAATACACTGATTCCTCTTTTTTGTTATGTGGGGGGGAAGGACAGGGGAGAAGAGAAAGAAAAAAAGACCTAAGTCAGCAACAGAAACTTGGGTGTATCTTCTGCAGCTACGAAGATGGCTTGCTCCCAAGAAACCACCACCACATTAAGCAGGCTCCAGTCCCACGGCTTGTTGGTGCAAGTGTGGGCTCCCCAGTACGCCCAGCAAGGTAAGGCAGAAACCTCCACGTTGCTTACAGGGTATCTACATCAATAAATCAGCTCTGTTTTTCCAAACGGCTTTTGGGAGAAAGAAAAAAGCTCACTTTGTTGCGCAACTCAGCAGCAGCGCCCTACAGTCAGCTGTAAAGTGGCAGAAAAGCTCCTGCTCTTCAGCTCATCTGCTTGACAATTCAATTACAAGTTTAGAAACCAACAACAAGTGCAAGGAAAAAAGGTCCAACAACACATCAAGAACATCGACAACAGACCCTGGGGATGTATCAGAGCACCACTTGACCACATGCGTGCTAGCAACACACACATCCTCATTAGATTTAAAAACATCTCTTAAAATATACTCCTGTGAACCCTCGAGAGCACAGGCGTGCATTGGAAGAGAAGTGGAGGCTTGACACGACGGAAGGGTGCGGCAGAGCCGAAATCAGCTGTCCCTGAGCCTGGCATGACACAGCCCAGGCTTCCCATCCTGGGG